GTTTCAATACCAGCAAAGTTGTGGTATGACAATCAAGCTGCTATTCATATTGCTTCTAATTCGGTGTTTCATGAACAAACTAAACATATTGAGATTGACTGTCACTTCGTTCGGGAGAAGGTACAGCAGAATTTAATCTCTACAGGATATATGAAAACAGGAGAACAATTAGGAGATATTTTCGCAGACTCTAAATGGGATTTGGGTTGATTATATTTGTAACAAGCTGGGCATGATAAATATCGATGCACCAACTTGAGGGGTAGTGTTATAGAATGTAAATAAATATAGGATTATATGCGTAATTATTGGGAATCCCTAACTAGTAAACTTCCTAATATAGAATTCCTAATTTAGCATATATTGATGTATCTTTTCTTATGAAAGAAATCAACGAAACTATTTTCTTCTTTGTATCATTTATATCCCATCCTCATTTCAAACTGGACAAATGTTTACAGTCTCAAGCTTGTGCTTTATCCAATAACACGAATTCCTAAGATATTATAACCACAAGGGATATGATATAATGAAAAGCAATTCTTAAGAGAATCAATTGCAATATATTTGGAAGAAGTAATGATGGACCCCAAAAGGCAAAAGCTTTGGTGGAAAGCTATGAAACATGAACACCCTTCAATCTGTGCTAGATATTTCAAATGGAATGGAGTTGGATATTTGTAAAACACACGGTCATGAACAGACTTTTCGTTAATTTCTAATTTGCAAAAGCTGAAGAAATGGTAAGAGCACACGAAAGGACAATTTTCAGATCAAAATGTAATTTTAAAACCAGAAAACATAGGTGTGAACACAGTACTTAACCAGTCAAATTTTGACTTCTAGAACCGTAAGGTTTTGTATGAAACTGAACTGAATTGACGGTCCTTTTTCAGTATTTGAAGTTTGATAAATAGGCTAGAGTAAGTTTATAAATTTATCGTAATTGTATTTAACTACCAAGAATAAAAACTAAATTTACGTAAAATGCCAAAAAGGTAGAAAATAGAAGAAAGAAAACATTTATAAACTGGCCAATTCTCTATTCAGTAAAACCAATTTATGTTTTTTTTCTTACTTGGCCCCAAGAAAAATAATTTGATTATACCATGACAAAATTTAGGTTCAAAGGAGTACAAAATGGAAACAAAAGGTTTGAAAAAGGTAAAAAAGGAAAAGAAACTGACTGTCCATGATATAGAACCCTCCATGGCATGTGGCATATTTCGGCTACTTCTAATGTGCCTTATTAAATGTCATCAACTATTGTTTTTTATCTTCAATAATCCTATTATTCTATTAAAGAATCCCTAGCCCAACTTATTTTTTAAATCATTTAATTCTTGACCCAGGTTATTCGAATTCATACAAAAAAACTTCGATGATAAAAATTTGAAACTGAGTCTCCCACATTGTGCCAGCCCTACAAAATGCCAAACTAGCATAAACAGACGGGATGACACATTAATGCAAATCTACTTTTTATCCAGCATGATTATAGCTTGTGGTAAGCTACTTTGTGGAAAATGTTGTACCCATGTCTCCCTATCATGTGGAATCCATGTCCATGCTTCTTCAGTTGAAAAACTATGACAAAGTTTAAGGATCTATTAAATAATTCATATGGGCCCAGTCTTTGCTACGTTTACCAAGTTCAATCCTTTCATCTAAATAAAATGAAAAGGGAAAAAAATGTTTTCCCAGTTTAAACCTAGAATTTGCAAATCACCCTTAAAGTGTAGGATACCATTTTGTTGATTTGGGTTGAGTTGAAGGGCAATAATGTTGATGATCAACTACTTTGATGGATAATAAGCTTGTTATCAGGAAAGTGGAACGCCATGAAGAGGTGGATACATATAATGATAAAATTTAGAAGACACTCAGATTTCAAAAAACCCAAGTGAATATTTGATCGAGTTAAAACATTCCCTTTATATAAGGCCATACCGACATTATCATGGGGCCAACAATTTCACTTTCTCAAACACATACAGGTATAGTGAACATTGTACACAAATACAGAGTCCAACAACTACAGACGCTAATGCCAAAAATTAATAATAATAATAATAATTAAGATTCTGATGATAACCTGGTCTCTAAGCTGATCAAGCAATGTGCCACCAATCAACCCAGGTCCAATAACACCCATTGCAATTGTTGTTCTAGATAGATAAAATCTTGAGTGGACAGCCTGCAAAGCCCTTGTACAATCTTCTCGCTTGATGACTACAGTAATATTATACTCAGAGCAGCCTTGAGCTATAGCCCGCACATTGATATTAGCCTGCAAAAATTCATGGCCACACTGGTCATGAGAGCATCTATATGATTAAGGAAATGTAATTCAACATACGGGACTTTATTCCACATCTAGAAACTTGTGAACTGGTAGTTGCTCCAAGTTAGCACATGTTTTATTTGGATGTTGACCCCTCCCAAGCACGAACATCGACAACGAAATCATGTATAAAACATTGAACTAGGCAAAAGACGAGATATGTTGACACTTCTTCAGACATTTAAGAGCAAATGGCTTAGCCAGAGTAATAATAAAATTGCAATTTTGTACATGGTAATAAGTGAAGTGAAACAAAAATTTGCGAAGATCAGTAAGTTTCCCGACCTTAGCAAGTGCATTAAAAAGCGTAGCACTGACTCCAGGTGTACTTGCCATTTTCTGGCCAACTGCTGCCAAAATACTACAGTTTGGAATAACAGCAATCTGCAATGATTCTTTGAATATCAAGAAAAATAGACAGAATAGAATCTCCCTTCAAACTAGGGAGTATGAACGAAACAGAATCTTTTGCTGAACATTATGTAGGGGTTCATGAAGAAAACACATGATATTATCAGATATCAAGAGAAGCTATGCCATTCATGCCATTAAGCAACGTTTATGAAGTGGATAATTAACCACAGCATATTGTCCACACAGGTAGATGGATTAATAATGTCTGAACCCCAATTCGCAATTGATTGTGTCATGGGTAGTATGATTTAGTAGCCAGTGCCTTGAAATAAGTGGTACAGCCTATTCCTGTCCCACGGGGTTGGATAAATTAATAGCCACAAATAGACAAGGTGTCACTTGTTTCACTTCTATTACTCACATACTAATAACATCTAGTTCATATGATATGATGATCAACTGTATCTCCTCCAGCACCAAATATAAATTTTTCATTGTCAAATACTAAACTTGAAAGCAAATATAGATGTAAATTAATGATCCTTGTTGACATGGAAAAACAGAGGGTTTTAAAATTCTACATTCACAGAGGAACACATTAAATTCTGCTTTCACTATGTCTGTACAGTATAGAAAATTAAGCCAGTGGAATACATAACAATTAAGCAAATATCTGTGAGAACAAACTTCAAGGAGAAAACAAAACATGCAACTTGCATTATCAAACAGTACACTCCAATAGTGCATGTAACAGTTAAGTGAAACACTTCAAGATGAATTCACGTGATAGCCCCTAACACCTGTTAGTATCTGGAATTAAAAGGGTAAGACCTGAGAAAGACGTCCAGCATCCAAGGCTTGACGAAACCTAGACTCTAATGCTGCAGCAACGGCATTTACTTCCTTTTCAGGCACAGCAAAACACACAGAATGTTCACTACTAGCCTGCATTGAAGTTCTCAATGACATTCACTAATAAAAATATGACATTCTGCGTTGAACTGATATTATTAAAAAAAAAAATACCTGAGATATCATGACTACATTAGCTCCAGAATCTCTCACAGCACCAAAAATGTCACTGGCGGTTCCGGGAACCCCTGCCATTCCAGTTCTGCAAAAAATATTTGCAAGTAACAGCTCAACCATGACAGAAAAAGAAAATAAAAAATTGTAACGGCACCCTGGCAGATAGCAGCACAAGATGAATTAAAAGCACACCCTTCAACATTTACAAGGGCCAAATTGTCGATTGTTGCAAATCCTTTAACTGGAGATTCCATTCTCTGACCATTTTCATTTTCACTGCCAGCAGGACGGCAGATCATTGTCCCACATGCTGAGAGGTTGAAAATATTTCTTATGACAATTGGTATATCATATACCATAACAGGAATAATAGTTCGAGGATGTAATACATTTGCCCCGAAGTATGACTGCATACAAACAATTTGATGATTACAACATTTAAATATGGGGTTCATTAACTTTGGATGGTAACAAAGAAGAATTGACCATACCATTTCCCATGCCTCTTGATAAGACAATTCCCTCAGTATCACAGCATCGCTAACTGCCAAAGATGATATAAAAAATGTTAAAAGCTTACATGAAATCTCAATTCTAACACGCATGTTAATGTAATATTGCTAAGAAAGTGGTCTAGAGCAACAGAGATGCAGTATCTCCTTGCCAGGTTTGAAAGGGACCAGAAGTCTACCATTCAAATGAAGTGATTTTAGTGTAGTACAATTGAGACAGCATGTGAACAAGTCAAACAAACCTTTTCTAGGGTCTGCACTATATACACCATCGACGTCGGTCCAAATAGTGACTTGACGTGCTCTGAATAAAGCACCCATAATTGCAGCTGAGAAGTCACTACCATCTCTCTTTAAGGTTGTAGGTATATTCTGAGGAGTGCTAGCGATAAACCCAGTTGCAACGATAGTGTTAAATGGATTGTGAGAATACCATTTCTCAAGCCTTCTGCCAGACTCCAAATAATCTGGATCCACCTGATTAGAGCTTGTCGGATTTACAACAAGGACCTCTCTGGTGTCCATACAAGTACAGTCCAATCCATTCTATAACAAGAGGGGAAACTTATTGACAAAGATACAAAAACATTGATTCAAACAATCTGGCAAAATTGTGAATCCTGTGAAAGGAAGGCACATCAGGGTCACCTTTCTGACAACAGCAGACAACAGTTGGGCAGACCATAACTCGCCATGTCCCACAACAAAATCTGAAAACGATTCTGTAGCATGACCAGCTGCAATATGTTTAAGTATTAAAAGTCATGAAGTTGAGGATGAATATTTTTGTTCCAACAAAATAATAATAATAATAACTGAGAAAGAAATATAGACCAATAATTTGTATTTGAAACTTTTTGAGAGAAAGCTTTCTTATTCTCTTATTTTTCAATTGGAAAAAATACACATCCATATAATAAAAGCAGAGACAAATTTGTTATAATGAAACACAATAAAATCCCACGATTATGGGAGATAATATCTCACAAAATCAAGGATTAAATAACAGCAAATCTTGACAGGCTAATAAGCTGCCCGAATCATTAAAAATAAGAAAACTAATTAAAATATCCTAGAATCAATTTGTGAATTACAACAGTATTCATACAAGAAAATATTAGATGCATGTATCAATGTAGGTACATGTGCACAAGGTTTAATGAGTATTCAGTAGATATGCTTGTAGATAAATACGTATGTATAGTCATATTCAGCATAAACTTAACCTAGATAGCCTTGAAATAAGATCTATTAGTAGGAATGGAAACCACACCTAGAAAAGAAAAAGACGCACCATGAATATAACTATTCAAGCTGTTGAAGACAGTATTCAAATTATATAATGTAGCATTCTCAAACAACTTAAACTGCTAGATGAAGTGCTTAAATGTGGCATCAATCATGCAAATTTCTTGGGTTTAAGCCTTGTTTCCAATCATTTAAATACAATGAGAAATTAAATCTCGTCTACACGTAAGGGAACGTGTTGGAGTTAATATTTAAATGATCTCCATGTAGCCCTCTCTAGCAGTTCAATCTTTTAGATTAAGTGGCTCAATACGAGCATATAAATAAGTCAAAACAATTACAATTGGCATTATAGTTTTTGCCAAACTTTCCTATACATTAGACATACCGATATAGATTGCACGAAGCATTGCTTTAAGGTTACTAATGTCCTGATTCAACAGAGATAAGAAATTAGCAAGATCATCCCCTTCAAGTAAATCAAGTGCTGTGAACTTGTGCTTTTCCATGACAGCATCCAATGCAGTTGCATAAGAGTTGTCTCGTGACTGTGCCCTCTCTATGAGACCATACATCATGTCTGTCACCTTCGACATGGCAGACACAACAACTAACTTTCTCTCTGACTCATCCTTGGCAATAATGTCTGCAACATTTCGTATTCTTTCAGAAGCTCCCATACAGGTACCACCGAATTTATGAATAGACCAGGTGTCACCCTTTGGAAGTTGTATTTTTTCTAGAGCATCGTCCAACAAAAAATCTACAAATTTTGTTAACAGTTAGTGAAGATATATCTTATTAGTAACAACACACTCTCATGAGTTCAATATTCAAAAGCATATTAGAAGGAATGATAACTAAACCTGCACTTGTAATGGAAGAATATAGGCTATAGTTTAATGAAGCCTGTCCCTGCCAGAGTGACCCCCAATCTATTCTGTGATACAAAAATCAAAAACTATCCATTCAGCATCCACAAACAGCAGGGTATAAAGAGAAATTGTTATAGACAAAATTGGAAGATGAAATCCATTAATAAGCACATGCATAATGTTCATATTTGTTTTTAATGAGCCAAAATATGACAATTGTGCTAACTCAATCAAAGCACAAACACAACCAGCCTAAATACAAGCCAGCTGTTTCGTCTTAATAAGTAATAGTATCATGTTGTTCTGTGTATTTTCATATCTTGGCAATTGACAAATTGCTCCACAATACTGTACTTGTTAAAACTTAAAAGCATTTTTTCAATCCACGATGTAACATGGTTATTTTCTCTAGCCTCAAAACTGAATAAATAAGAGAGCAACGAAGGTAATAAGTTGCAATTACTCTAAAATTGAAGGAAATTTGACTTTCTAGGCACTCTGCAATAAGACCAATAAGATCGGGAGATATCATTTAGAATACTACTAATCAGTACATTTTAATCTACTTTATCATCTTTCATGAGGAGAAGTGTTTATGAGAATTCCTCATATTATGTCTTGCTTTGACTTACTCAGTGAACAGTGCATCAATGCAAAGCTAATGCCAAAAAATGCTTATGGCAACTTATTCTTGAAACTATATAACCACATGCATGTCAGCATAATAACATTCGAATAGATATAGGGCAATTTTGATACACTTAACCCCCGTTTGGCCCCTTTCCCTTTCAATTTTTTTTTCTCTCTCTTATTTTCAACGCACAATCTTCCATTTTTCCTTGTCTTTCAACCACACATTCTCCCAAAAATAAAAATAAAAACACTATTTCAAACATTAAAATTTCAAGGGGGGAGGACTAAACGAAGGCTTAATTATTTTCAGTGCCAGATTGAAAATAAAAAAGTAATTTTTAAGCATTAAATGGGCAAAATTCGATTAGCAGGTAAACCCAGAAACTGAAACAGAGCCGGACAATTAAAAAGGAGGGAAAAAAAAAGACTTCGCAGATAAATTAGTTATTCAGAAAATAAAAAAGAAAAATGATTACCTAAAAAGGGCATGGCGGTGAGAGAGTGAAAAGGGTTGGATCTTGTTGAGTGTTAGAATCTTGTTATGCTTTGAAAATGGATTAGAAGAAAGACTATGTAAAGATGGTGATATGGGAGAGGCGAATGCCATTGCAGCAGCCGCTGTCTCTCTGAGCAAAATCACTGTGTGTGGGTCTTGAATTTGGTGGCTGCTCTAGGACTGATGACGATGGCACAAATGACAAACCAAATAAAGCCCAGCGTGTTTTTCATTTTTTTAAGAATGAAAATAAAAAATATATTCTTTTCTCAAATAAGAGATAAAAATTTAAATTTGATGATTTAATATGATAGATAACGTTCATATTTTTCATTTTAATGAGAAAATAATGAAAATCAAACTGGGTCAAAGCAATAAAAATGAACAGTGATGCTATTTATTGCTAAGGGGGAAAATGTGGAATTAGGAAAATTCAGAAATTGATGTTATTGATTGATTTTTATACCCCAATTAATGGACTTAAAAGCAAAAATTCAATTGAAATTTTTAAATACTTTCAAAATCTTTTAAAGATTTAAAAAATTTAAGGGTGTTCAAATGAGATTTTTAAATTTGTATAAACTTTTAAAGGGTCTTTAAAATTTTTGGTGTATCTAATTAAAAAAATTTTGAAGTTTCCAAAAGTCTTGTGGTATTCAGAATTTTAATGACTTATAAAAACTTTCATAAAAGTTTTCAGGACACTAATTTAAAGTACAAAAACAAAATTCCAAAATAAGTTTGGGAGATTTTAACAAAAGAATTTGTTAAATATACTTTTTGTCCTATAAATTTTCTTTTTCTTCTTCCATTCCTCAAATCTTACAGTTATAATTAGAAAGGTTATTATTTTTTCTTATATCTATTAATTATATTTGTTCTCTTTTCATTTTTATCTCTTCTTTATTATTTCTCTTCAATCTCTACACCAAAAAGAATGTAATTAAAATTCTTGTAACATGTTTTTTTATCCAATTTTTCATGTAATTGATCAATTTTGTAATAAAATTTTATATTTTTTCTTCTTCTTCTTCTTTTTCATTTAAGTAGGAGGATATATTTTTTATTTTTTATTTTTTATTGAGAATATGAACGGTAGGTAAATATTTCACACTAAACTTTTCAAATAGGGATATTTTGTGCTAT